ATACTAAGAAATCTGACACACCAATCCGACAGAATATATGCATCCCTATGTTCATAGCAGCACAATTTACAATAGCTAAGATCTGGAAACAGCCCAAGTGCCCATCTGTAGATGAGTGGATAGAAGTGTAAAGCTGTGGCACATTTATACCATGGAATACTAGTACTATGCAGCAGTACAAAAGAATTTCTTACCCTTTGAGACAGCATGAAGGAACCTGGAGAGTATCATGCTAAGTGAAATAAGTCAGTCAGATAAAGACAAGTATCACATGATCTCATTCATATGTTGAATCTAATTAACAAAATAAACTGATGAATAGAAGTGGATCCAGAGACATGGAAGCATCTACAGTGGGGCCTTGACTGACGAGTTTAATTTGTTCCGTGATGGAGCTCGTAACTCAAATTACTCGTATGTCAAATCATAAAGTGAACGAGTGAGACACGTGATGCTGGGCTGATGTTGTGGCATTCACTGTGATGTTCGCTGTGCCAACTAGCGGTGGGGTATCTGAACCTGGCTCGTAACCCGAATTTTAGCTCACAACTCAAAGCAAAAAATCGGCCGAGAGACGGCTTGTATCTCGAAAAACTCGTTAGTCGAGACACTCGTAAGTCAAGGCCCCACTGTATACTAATAAAGGGTAATATGCTCATTAGACCAGATGAATTCTGGACGTCCTTCTGGACAAAGCCATGGTGGCAGGGGCTGAGGCAGAGGCAGTTACGGGCGATCAGGCCAGCGGGGGGGCAGTTTTTTAGGATGAGGCTGTGTGGGGAGACCAGGCTGGCAGGGGGCACAGTGGGGGCCAATCAGGCTGGTGGGAGGGTACAATTGAGGGCGATCAGGCCGGCAGGCAGAGGCAGTTAGGGATGATCAGGCCAGCAGGGGAGGGCAGTTAGGGGCAATCAGGCTGGCAGGGGAGCAGTTAGGGGGCATTCAAGCCAGCAGGGGAGGGCAATTAGGGGACGATCAGGCCAACAGGCAGAGGTGGTTAGGGGGCGATCAGGCCAGCAGGCAGAAGCAGTTAGGGGTGATCAGGCAGGCGAGTCGTTAGGAGCCAGCGGTCCTGGATTGCAAGAGGGATGTCTGACCGCCAGTTTAGGCCCAATCCCGCAGGGCAGTCGGACATCCCTTGAGGGGTCCCAGATTGAACAGGGTGCAGGCCAGGCTGAGGAACCCCCCACCCCCGACTCCCATGCACAAGTTTCATGCACCAGGCCTCTAGTAGAACATAATGCAGAATCTCAGAAGGTGGGAGAGGGTGGGTAGGAGTGAGGTAATCAACTAAAGACCTTGTATGCATATATGCAAAACCCATGAACTCAGACAATAGAGTGGTGAAGACATGGGGTGAGGGGCAGGGGTGGGCTGAATAGGGATAAAGGGGGGGGGGCACATATGTAATACTTTCAACAATAAAGATTTTTTTAAAAATTGCTTCAGCACAGAAGACACCACCATCAAAATGAAAAAAGAACTCATTGTATGGGAGAATATATTTGCCAATTATACATTTGATAAGGGATTAATTTCCAAAATATATAAAGTACTCATAAAACTCAACAAATGGAAGACAAGCAACCCAATTAAAATATGGGCATAAGACCTGAATAGATACTTTTCTAAAGAGGACACAGAAATGGCCAAGAGACATGCAAAAATGCTCAATATCACTAATCATCAGAGAGATGCAAATTAAAATGACAGCGAGGTGCCACCTCACACCTGTCAGAATGGCTATCATCAATAAATCAACAAACAACAAGTGCTGGTGAGGAAGTAGAGAAAAATGAACCCAAGTACACTGTTGATGGGAATGCAGACTGGTACAGTTACTATGGAAAAGAGTGTGGAGTATCCTCAAAAAATTAAAAATGGAACTGCCATTTGACCCAGTTATCCCAGTTCTAGGAATATATCCTAAGAAGCCAGAATCACCAATCAGAAAGAATATATGCACCTCTACGTTCATAGCAGCATTATTCTCAATAGCAAAGATCTGGAAACAGCCCAAATGCCCATCAGTAGATGAATGAATTTAAAAAACTGTGGTACATTTACACAATAGATACTATGCAGCTGT